CTTATTAGGTTGAAAAATTGGAAAACTGAAAACTTCGATATCTAAGAAAAATGATATAATAAATAAAAATAAGAAACCAACGAGATACGATAGTACATTTTTTATTATCTTATCAGGTTGAAAAATTTTATACATTGAAGAGATATCGCGGATGATCGGCGAAATCGTAACTTTATTTCAATGAAAAATGTCCATATTTCCGTAATAAAAAGTATATCTTTCACCGTATAATACTTTCAGCTTGAGCGATTTATGATTTTCGACTGCGATTTTACCGAAGAAGAATTATCGTGTTACTCTGTGCAGCGGCGAGCATGTATATGCATATACGCGCAAGGCTATTGGAGAGACAGGCGCATTGTACCTGCGAAATCGATCTGGGCAGCCTTCGCCGACGCGTTTTCGCAACGCGTATGCGCGTGGGTCTCGTTTCATGTAACGGCGATAATATGGAGAAGGTGAAAGGGAGGATGAAAGGAGGTGCAGCCGGGCAAGGTAGAAGCGAGGAATTTCTATCTCATGGATCACTTTCGGTCACTGTCGTTTTTATTTCCAATCTTACATTTTTCCAAGCGTTAATCAACATTGCCGTTAATTAGATAGAGACTTTCGCATCGTAACGTGTTGCTGTATCAACTTTGACCAAATTAAAGATGATAAAACGACAATACATTAGCACTTTATATGAATTGCAAGGAAAGATACTAAGTGCTAAAAATAAATTATAATATTAATCCTACAAGGTCTACATTTTTGTTAAGCCGAAACGATATGCTGAGCAAACATTTTACAGGAAACGTTATCAGTGAAGAGGCATTAATAGCACACGATACCTCTCCCAGATATCTTTCACAGACTTAATGCCATTTCCATGTAAGCCCGCGAGGAAACGAAGTACACGAATATTATTCGATTCGATTGAGAGGAATTGCAAAGTGCATCATAATGTCTGACTCGCGCGCCTTGAAGAAGTGTACCGCGCCTGTCGCCGCGGCGATAAACGAGTTTATCAACCGCCGCACAATTAGCCGCTCTTCATGGAGATATTTCAGCGTGGGCACTGTCCTTCTAGCACAGTGTGTGTCGCAAACGTGAGAGATGATAGATAGAACAAGGGGGAGGAGAGAGAGAGAGAAAGAAAAAAGAGTAAGAGAAAGAGTATTCGCGTAAGGAACGAACGGAGACGAGGAGGCGGACGCCTCCGATGGATATTTCTGTGACATCGAGACGCCCGTAAGCTACTTAGGATTTAGCTTAGCCACGGTCATCCGTAGGTGTGTACGCGGCTTTATCCCATAACGACGTCCTTGCACCTTCCCACACGGAGGACGTTTTATAGCGCCAACGCGCGCCGCACTCGTTACGCTTTCGCTCGGGCGACAATGCACCGTGCCGCATAATTGACGGAACGAAAATCAAAGTGGCGGACCTGTCCGTTAGAGCGGCACTACCGAATGAAAGACGGAGACAAAATGGAAGAAAAAAGCAGATGCATAAATAGTTGGAGACGTTTATCGAAATTAAGATATTATATTAGGATTGAAGCATACAAAGCGATTACTTCACGTTAATGAATTGCTAAAATAAATAATTAATCGACTCAAGCTAAAAACAGAAAAGATCGAGATAAGGCAAAAATTTACATGATTTTAATTCTATTAAAAAAAAAAATACAGAAAAAACGGGAAAAAAGAAGCAATGTAGTTAGTTTTTCACAAAAAAATAATGCTATGCAGTTTGTACGTGCACGTATTTAATCACTGGCGCATCACGGCGACACGTATCATCATGTCCGCGTGTTGTCGCTCTGAACTTACGCAATCGCGCCGCGAGATATAAAGCGAGACTGGATGGGTTTTTGCGAGTTTCACGGGCGTTTCGCGCGATTTTCGCTTATGGTACGTAATTTAGAATCGCAACGGCATAAAAACGGCCATACGCTTCTGGCTACCCTAGGCGCGCGGGTATTGAAACGGCTGTAAATTACTGAGCGACTGCCGCATCGGCGCTATTGACGGCTCTAAAATGTTGCCCTGATGACTTAACTGGAAACTCTAAAACCAGTTCCTAATGACTTTTTGCGGTGGGATGGAGCGACCGGCGACAAAGACGGGAAAAACGCGCGGTCCACGACGAGTAAAGCACGAAGATGCGTGTTTATTACGCCGCACCGAGCGTACCGCGGCCGCTTGAATTATTAAGAAACATCCCGGCATCAGAGGCCAGCTGGACGGACCACCTCGACGAAGGGGGAGCAGCTGAGAACGGCCCGCAGGCTGTTTCCACGTCGTAAACAGGCCTATCGAATACCAGCGATATACATTATTGCACAGAGTAGATTTTTCCACCGTGCGAACACAATGTCTCGGCTGCGATGTTAGCCTCTTTCGGTCTTGTGATTTCAATCGGCAGCGTCTTTATTTCACCACATTTTGTTACTTTTTAAAACAACCGTACAATTTCTTGAATCTGTATTTCATATTTACGAAAATAAACATTAAAGAGAAGAGGATGGAAAAATTGAGATTACATTGCGCGTAAAATGTTTCGTTCTAAGCAGTTTTACGCAGTTTTAATCCTCTTATATTATAACTTGTTTACGCAAAATAAACTTTTTTTATATAAACCAATGAGCAAAATTCGTATTTATTAATTTATTGATTGAATTAGCATTTTAAAAAGGATTTATGAAATTATATTAACAAAATAATTTTAATATTATATATTAAAATATTCATGATTTGTACTGGTTATTAAATCTACCAAATCCATCTACTTTTATTCTTATTTATAATTAAATATTACTCATTATATATTAAATATTTAAATAGAGTGCAAAATTGATTCTCTTGTTTATGCACAATCTTCTACGTGTAATTTATAGCCACACTATATCAATATGATAGTATTGTTAATTTCTTGGAATTAGAAAGTTAAAATAATTATTATTTCAAAGACAATTTTTCGTCGCGTCAGAAGTTGTCGGAAAGCGAAACCGAAGGATAAGGAAGAGATTAACAGCACCGCAGAGATCATCGTCGACGAGAGGATGAAGGATCGAGGAAGTGGAACGCCAGCGTCGCAATCGCATCTCATATACGAGTTATCTCGCGCAGAGTGTAAGGTCGGGGGTCGATTCTCTTCTCCCCGACGAAAAATGAGCCATGCGCTTGTGCGCGCCAGCGCGCAAAACAGAAACGGCAGCGCTGTCGATACCGCGCTCGTAAGGTGAAGGGTCACCGCGATCGTTGTAAAGCACATCCACTTCTGGGTTCGCGGTTTCGTCTCGACGGCCTGTTTCTCGCATCCGCGAACTCCGTGTCACGGAATACGATAGAGCTACGGCAAACCGGAATTTCTGACCCTCGCCGATCGGACAGTTTCGCCTCATCGATTGCATCGAAACTCTCTCTCTTTCTCTCTCTTTCTCTTTCTCTCTCTCTGTTTCTATCGGGATATAACAAAACGGAGAAAAAAAAGAATACAACTTATCTTATTGCTACTTTAAAAGAAATATATTATTTACTTTTGAGAGCTTTACTCTTTTGATGCGTTACTCGATCAATTCGCGTTGCGCGTTGATACGTGTCATCGATAGTTGTCATCGCGATGTTCGCGTTTTGTCGACGATTTTGTTTATTATCAATGTATCAAAAAATGCGTGTAAAAGTCATCGTTATTCTTTTTAATGGCGAATAATACAAAAACATTTAATAAAACATCGAAGATTCAAAAGTCGAAAGTAAAAACTCGACCGCGAATCGCACGGCGAAAACAATCGGTTTCACCCGCGGGAACGGTAGCGGTCGTAGACACGCGACGTAGACACGCGTCGAAGGTCAAAAGTTGAGGATGACTCTGTACTTGTACGCCTACTTCCTAGGTTGCACGTCACGAAGGTGAATATCGCCACATGATTGATAGGTCGATGCGCGCGCGTCTCGCTCCGGGTCCGCGCGTGCAGCCGACGAAGCGAGGAACGGGCCACTTTACGAAGAGAAAGGGGGAAGAGGCATAAGGTTAACCACTGTGGTGTACACGGAGACACGATTACCACGCGAACGTGGAGCAGGGTGAAAGTTTACGTCACGTTTTGTTCGCTCTCAAAAAGACGTACGCAATACGGTCTCTTCGAAGATGATGCGCTTTCGATGTGGTTTGCGGTGCCATGTCGAACCTCGCAATTTTCAAACATATCTTACGCTAACCACTAAACGATCATTAAATTGCGAGAAGTTCCTTATTTGTAATGAGTTGAGCCGAAAACTCGTCCAAATTCTGCCAAGAGATAATATTGAAAATAATTTGTACAACTAACTTTACATACTTTAAATCTAACAAATTGTACATATACAATTTTAATAATTTTCACTCTTTCTCCATGGTTAATGTAATCAGTTAAATAATATAAGACCACACGTCTTTGGCCTTCTGACCAAAATTGTTGCAGTTATTGCAATTATTGCCAATATTGCAAGTGTGGCAATTATTGCAATTGTTGAAATATCTTATGTCATCAACTTCGATGACATTTTCTTCTGACATTGTATTTTTCTTATCATTTTTTTCAGTCTTCCTGGAAGATTGCATTCTTGGAAGCTATCAAAAACAACCTTGAGATATATTTCAACAGAAGTTAGTCAAATTTTACACGTCGAATAATAAAATTGCCTGAAAATGCATTTAAAAAATAATGGATATTCATTAAAATCATATATTAATTAATATTAAATTAATAAAAAAAACATGAAAAACACAAAAACTGTACGTAACTTGTTTCACAGATATTTTTCAATTTACTTTTTTTAACATTACGTTCAAATATGCCGCTAACTTGAAAATTGACGATAGTTATCGTCGACGATAAGTTAATAGGTCTTGTGCAATAAATTCACAATAAAAATAAAACTTAATTGCAAAAAATGCATGAGTCAGATAATTTTCGATAATTTTGGACAATTACATGGCCTATATAAACGCAGAACTACAAAGAGTGTGTCAGTTGCACGAAGAGAATAACTGATTGCATTCGTCTTGTCTCTTAAAAAGATACGTCTTGTCTCTCAATATTTAAAGTAAGTACAATAAAATATACGTGTATATAAGACTGATCTTTGTTGTAATACCTTATAATTGTTGACATACTTCAGTTTTCAACTATACCATTATTATTGTAAACGTATCCAAGTAATCGTGGATTTAAGAATGTTATATTTCATGTTACATTGCATAATACAATTTTTGCCACATCGCACACCCGCAAGAAAAGTAACACAAATTGAAATTTTTCAAATTTTGTTTTATATGCGGATTATGTTCTAAATACGATCGACCTTCAATCAAAAAAATAATACAAGTTGAATTCAAATACTTTCCGTGTGAGTCCGCTATGTTTAATATTGCCGTAAATAATTAATTTTAAAATTATTGTTTAACCAAGCATAGACAAATAAAATTATTTTCCGTAAAATCAAGCTTGTTACAGATGATTTATAATTTGCGACAAAATTTTAGATAAAAATCAATTCATAATATTATAAATAGGAAACATTATTAACGCAATTCTTTCTTTCCGCTCTCCTGAATAATTCGATATTTTTTACTTGTGTCACTTTTCTTGCAAGACTGTGTGTAATATTTATATTTTTTTCTATATATATTTTCATATTGTATTTAAAAATATAATCAAAAAGTTCGTTCTATCACCTTTAATTTTGACACAAATATTATTTAGAGCATATGTAAACAACATAATATTGAAATTCTTCGCATATACAAGTAATTGTTATTTCTTTATAATTGAAAAAATTAAATAAAAATCACTAATAATTTGATTTTAATATACGTGACACGATTTAATATAGGTGACACGATTAATCAAGTATCGAGGTTAAATAAAATAAATATTGACTACGAGTGCATATGCAAACATGCAACTAATTTTATTTTTTTAAATTTATTGGACGCTCGAGAAAAATGTTTTCCGCAAACAAAATATAAGAGGAAATTAATTATTATCATACATTGTTTAAATTATATAAACATACTATATATTTTAATAACACTTTTAAAACAAAAAAATGCATACAGAAAAATAAAAAAAACACATTTAAATTATACACGAAAAATATTGTTAGTTTTATCTTTAAACATAATACTTTTAATAGAAAATCAATATTGTTCAATGTAATAATATTTAAAAGTTTATGTTATTAATATTTTGCATTTTTATATTATTATTGATTCACAATGTATATTATTTACAGATGAAGCTTATATATGCCTTTGCAATGATTATGATGATCGCAGTAACAGTAATTATGTCTGTTAACGGTGATACAGATACTTCAAAAGAAACAAATTCTGATTCCTATGAATAGAATCCTAAAAATTAATTTTACGATATGAGTTACATGGTTGAAAAAATATAGCAATAGTTATTAAATAATGCTATAAATATTGTACTATCTTCAATTGTACAGAACTGTCGGCAGTTAATAAAAATATGAGCATCTACTTGCATGTTTTTTCTTTTATAAATATTACAAGATCAAATTCTTCTTAGATCTTTAAACCTTAACTTTAATAATTTTTATTTTTATAAAAACCTTGCAATTGTGTGTGTGACACTTTATACTGGTATGAAAGAAAGTACATTTTATGAAAAATATACATACAAAATACTGACTTTTAACAAATAATGACTTTTATTTCACTTGTTTTTTGTTTTCAGAATGCAATTTACTATGTTCGTGCATTATGTCGAATTGTGTTGAAATATCAATGTGCATTTACATTATTCGTTTTACGCTTTACAGCGTAAATTTAATAAAAAAAATTAATGTAGAACATGCGGCACTATGTATGAATTCTGGCGGCATACAAGAACACGACGTACAATTTAATGCACGTTACATGACACGAAGATTATGTTTCGCTCTCCGAGCAATCGTATTAATTTCATAATTCAAATGATGCCTACCACAGCCCTCTTCAAAATCCTGCTCTATCCCGACATCGTAAGTAATTCATAGCGCGAGAATCCCCGCGGCGGATTACAATGGCGGTTCTAGTTTCCAGCGCTCGTATTCATATGGTTAATAGCAACGACGGAAACATCTGGAATAACATATGTCCGCGAACTTTAAGACGTATTTACACGGCTCTTTCTTGACGATCATCCGATCAAAAGTATCGTCCACGATACATACAGTTATAATGTAAAGAATAAAAATTTCTAAATACATCATAATATTAATTATGTTTAGTTTTAAATATAATCTAAAATTAATTAATCGGAATTGAACAACGCAGTGCATTTCTATAGACATTCCTAGTTTTCCACAAACATTCAGAACAAGATTACAAGACTCTTCAAGGATCATGATTATTTTTTTACAGATCATAAAATGATATAACTGAGATGAAATAAAAAACATTGCATCGATATGTTACTTTTATAAATCAGAAAATTATTAATATCAGAAGACTCCTAATATGACGCAGAATCTTAAAAGAGAAAAGTCCCTCTTCATATTAAAATATATGATAATTTTTATGAAGGTATACCACTTCATCCAAAACAAATCCTAAACTAATTGTAACTCGCGTAAATGCGCCTTTATAGCAACGCTAGATAGAATCGAACGAGATAGAGACACGGCTCGCGCCAGGCGCGGTGCACGCGCTTTAATCTCGCTAGGATTCGATGGAATTAATGGCCACGCCTCGTGCGAGCGCGACTCCTTCGATTTCCGGGGCCGCGGTCCCGGAAGAGATCCTTTCTACATGTGTGCACGCGTGCGAGAGCGAGGCCGACGCACTCCTCGCGATGCGATGCCGGGATGCGTTCGGATTCTGGAATGCGGCGCGGGGACGCGCGATGCGGCAAATATACAGGACTTAAGCGATCCTGGGGACGCGGAGAGACGAAGCCGGGGCCCGATAGAGTCGGAATGGGAGGGAAGAGTCTCGCCGATGTGGAAGAAGGTCAGGAAAGTTAAGAGCGAAGTTAATTACCGGTCAGCTCGTCGGAACTACCGGCGTTCGCGGCGTGGTCGTCTAGGATGATCGCCGCTCGACTTCATGCTCGCGCCAGAGATGCTCTAGGCTCTCTCTGCATCTGATAAAGACTCGGATCATACGTTATTTTTGTTTGCAAGCAGAATCGCAACGGGACTTTTATGTGAAAATCGATTCATGTAAATGTAAAAACTTACAAAAATTAATAAACATTTGGTCAGTAACATTATTTAAACAACTGATAAATTTTAATCGGAAAACCGATCATGTTTGTCCGATATTCAACAATTAGTACCGCGTGAATGACTCATTTTGGAATAAGTTCGATACACTTGTTGATGTCCATATATGAATATTGCGAAAGAGTTAATGCACAATATCCGTCGGTAGAGAAATAGAAAACGCACAAATGTCCATAATTTCCTGACATCGTGGTTTAGATGTAATAATCGACATAAATATTGCATAAAGTATGGTTGTAAAGCACATGACTTTCATAATGACATGGTCAAATCTTAATAATAATTTACAGAAAGTATTCCAATATATATGAATTTATAATAATTGCACAGTTTACTATTATTTTATACATAATTGTTGTTGAAATAAAACTTAAAATATTTGTTACGTGAATTATTTTTATAGTTTAAATAATTTAAAAAATTTTACTAATACAGGCTGATAGATCGTGTATGTAGTTATTTTCAAGCCGAGAGAAAGCCGGCATATCGAGAAAGTTGCGAGTTTTCCTGCTTCGACAAGTGTATGTATTTTTCGGTGCGGGATTACGATTAAATAACCATGCAGATGTAATCACCGGGCGCATGATTTCACGGTTGAATTTATAACGCGCCAGACAAATTGGAAAGGAGTTTCGCCCAGTGCCAGAGAAACGTTATACAATCGGCCAGATTGTAAAGAGGAACCCGTGATATTTCGTAGCAATAACGTAATGACTCGTCAGTTCGGCACTCATCCTCACTGATTCGCGCGATCGAGAGTTTATGCGATTTTTTTTAGCGCTGACTATCTTCGGACTTGCGAGAAAGCGAATCTTTTAATCAATTTGCAATAAATTATAATTACGTAGACGATGAAGCTAATAAGTCTCTACTTAATTTGCGCAGTAGATAAATTCTTACATACAAGCCAGTTAGATTATTCTGATCAGTCTTTTTGCATCTAAATTATATAATGCTTCTATTATCGATCGTGTTAAGGTCGATCATAAATCGACCTTTATTTGACTCTTTATTTTGAGAATAATGCTACGAAAAAGTATTGGGTGTAGATCAAAGACTTTTTTCCCACACAAATTTTATAAAACATCATCTTATAACTTTCATTTAACTATTATATATTTTGAACGCTTGCAAAGCATTTTTACAATATTAGCAAACGACATTCAGTGGATCAAATAAGTTAATGATTGTTAAGATTGTTGAGAACATGATTTTTGTCTCTCGAATGTTAAATAGAGGATGAGAGAACGATGGAAATCTGCGGGGAACAAGAAGCGTTACGTAATCTGTTCGTAATGCAGAAGATTCGAAGTCCAGAGCGTCCGTCCGCGTCCATGAGGACCTCCAGCTTTCTCCTCGACGCGAACTGCCGCCTGCGGCACGTAGAAGAGATCAACGAGATGTTTTCGCGGTACGCCTGGCATACAATCGTGCTTATGCCCTAATCACCGTGTGACAACTTGCCAACGTGATCTAACATATCATGCAAAATTCAATTTCAAAAGTAATACAATCAAGAAATTCTATGCGATTCGAGCGAATATTCACGCCACTTTAAGTAAATATTCGTGAATGCATTTTAATAGACATATCATATTATTATTTATAAATAGAATGTTATTTATAAATAGTTCGCAGAAAGTTTGCTACGCTATTCTATTCACACGTAGAAAACGAATAACTATGATCGCTAGTTTCCGCATGTCATAAGAAAATACCGCAGATTATTGAACAATGCAAAGGTCATTTCTCGCTGCTTAGTAATTGCACTTGCGCGGTTCTCAGAGGCCGGGCTGTATCTCATCTGGCATACCTAGTTCTATTAAGAAATACCAAGGTATTCATTGTTTCCACAGAAAAGAAATGTCTAAAAATATTTGAAGTCAATATTTAGAAGCTAATGCTAATTATTAGGAAATGCAATATTTTAATTAGAACTCGTAGTTAATGCTAATTCTAATTAAAACAATAAACCTGATTGATTTTAATAAATGCAATTATTACTTATACATATATAAATTATAATCCGCATGTTTATAACAGTTTAATAGAATGCTCTATAGAAATTTTCTATGTTTGAAAAAGATTATTCCGCATGCAATTAGAATCGTAAATGTTTATCGGAAAGACTGAAATGCCCTTCGACTTCGAGTCGAAGTGATTAAGTCCTTCTCGGCCGACCACTACTTCATTGCGTGACAAGTATGTAGGCTGCATTATGTACTTACTTAGTGAGTATATTAATTTGCATTTGCCATCACATTTGCGGAGATATAAGTATGGAAATGACGAGCGCGTCGTAAAGGCGTATTCGTGACGGCTTTGATTGCAGGCAAAGATCGCGAAAGAGCAAGTAATCGTTCATAGAGACGTACTTTTCGTCACGTCAAACAACCTGTTTACAGACGAGTTTTGAACAAATAATGATTAAAAGTGCAAAGCAATGTAAATGTCAAAGAGATGGTTTTATATACATAAATAATTTGAAATAAATTTTATACAATCGATATATAATATACGATAATACGTAATTTAAAATTGAAATACTATTAAGTGTTAAAATTAAAAAATAATCTGTTTTAATTATGCTGCATAATTTATTTATATTAACCAAATTATTTCATGCAAATAATCTTGTTCATAATTTATTTTTGGATAAGATAAAAAGCTATCTTGGAATTATTCATTAAGAAAATGTGCAAGCGATTCCTTCGGAAACAAGATTGTTTGTCGTTGATCGCGGCTGGATTTTGCATACGCTTTTACAGTCACGGTGATCTCAAAGCTCGCGCCACAATTAAATGGTTTGATCTTTATAGCTGACTAGTTCAAAGTTTATCTTTCCCTTCCAATGTGAAGGGAAAAAGATAAACTCTGAACTAGTGCAGCCAGTTCAGCTATAAAGAACAGACCTAATACTACAGGAAGTGCAGTCTAGGGTGCACGTGTACTGGAGCACACATATCCTTGAGGAAGGATAATGTGTGTTTCAGATAATAAGCACCGTACCGCGCTGACTTAACTCTATTTGCATAAAAGTATTAATTACAATATCATAGTTTCGCGCAATGCACTGCTTGCTCATATTTCTTTCACCTCCATTTCTTCTTCATTTTTTATCTACCATGTTATCTTTTTAATTTAATATATGTAATATACATTTCGTATATCTTTTTAAAAAACATTGTCGTCAAAAATATATAGAAAAGGGAAAAACAGAAATATTCTGCTTATATAGAGAAAATTTTTAAA